GCCTGGGTTGCGTACGTATATGTGGGGCGGAGCTATCAAAATAGGGGCAAGACCCTTTTGGGGTAGGGGCGTGTTTGTTTTGGTGATTTCAAATATCAACATTGGCTACCAGAAATCGCTTACTCTGCCTTTAAGTGCTTTTAAAATATTTTAATGTGTAAAATATTATTTGTATACAATGCTAGAGTTGTATGTGATAAAATGACTTTTTTAAGTGTATGTGTATTAGACTTTTACTGTAAATAATATAACTAAAACAGACAATTAAATCATTATCTGAATGATAATTAATTACCAGGAAAATGTCATCATCATGATAGCCCTAAACCAAACACTAAACATATTATATATGATTCGTGTTATGGATGTAATACCACTACAACTCAATACATTTTACAATGAATTATTTTTTGTATTTTTTTTATTAAACAGTGTTGATAGTCACTTTTGTTAATAAATATTCTTGAGGATCCCTGTAATCTGCAATTGCATCAGTGCTAGTAGTTAATTATGAGGTGATGTGATGCTCATTTAGTTATGATATAAGAATATCTTATTCTGTTTTACAGCATAAATACTGAGAAAAAGCTCAAACTCACCCTTCGCGTTCAATTTCCTCTGTATTAAATGCAAACACCTGCAAAGAGTTGTGTTCAAAAGTTTGTCGTTTTATTTCCTGTAAACATTCATAAGCAAGCATCTCTGCAACATTCAGAACAAGCCGGAAAATAGACACTACAATGACCAGTTCAGCAGATATCACTCCTAATAAACAAATGTCACCCAAGTATCCAAGATACTCACACATATGCTGCATGAGGAAGGTAACCATGACCTTTCATGTCGGGTTCTGAAAGGTCAGTCACTCTCTAATAAGTTTCAGTCACGTTAAGACACACAAAATGGCAGAGGACTTTCAACACAAAAGAGCTTGTGATCTGGTCATTGAGTGTGTTTTCAGACTGACTCATACCTGGCCTGCCCTCTGTAAGTTCCCAAAGTGCACGTCCGGGATGAAGAGAACCGGCTGGGCATCCAGATCAGTCATAGTTTTAAAGAAGGTGGCGTCACATTTTTTCGGGACAGAAACCGCCCCGACGCCTCCATCCTTTCCTGATGAGATGAAGTCATTTGTACATGTAAGAATAACTGTTATTGATGATAATAATGGTGACTCATACTGCAACACACAGGTTTCGGTCCAATCAAATGTGCCATGGACTAGCAAGTAGCACATCATGGTTCATGGTTGTGAAGCCTCTAGATTATTCAAAAAATGCACTTCAATAAGAAATATGTCAGGAGAGAAAATTGTGTTTATCAAATCACTTCTTGTGTTCCTTAAAGCTTATTTTTATGAATTGGAGATACTTTCAGTGCTTCAGACCTTTTGTCTTCTTGCGGTTCTGTTTCCTCTCCTCATCTCTGATCTTCCTCTCCGCTCCCTGAGCCGCACAAACACAGAGAAAAGAGAAATTAGAAACAGTAGCATGTCTGTGAGGACTGTGAAAGGTAACAATAATTAACAACCTCAAGGTGGCACTACAGTTCCTGAGTTGTAGACCAGGAGCACACCATAAATATGTCTAAATAATAACCCACTTAAGCTGTAGGTAAAAGCATGTCACTGCTTATTAAAATAAGTGATCATGCATATATAGTGCTGCAGGGATGATGTACTTTTGTAGGCTCAGAAATGAGCATTTTATCGCTAGCGGTTCCAACATGCTAAAGTTAATGGGATTTTGAATGGGTTTTAAAGTCTGTTTAACACAAGGTCAGGATAATTTAACATTATATTCTACAATATGAAATACATCAGTAATACCCCTTGTGATTTTTAAAAAGCTTTTACTTGTTTTGAAAAAGGTGGTTGATAACAAGTGTCTGAATGGGACTCCAGAGGTTGTCTAAGATATTAAACATCGTCACACTGAACAGATAAACTCATCTGATCACTAGTCACTCTCACAGCCTCATTGTGTTTATAATCACACTCCTGCAAACTATTCTAACTCAAACTTTCAAGGAAAATGGTTTTAAATGAAGACTGAAAGAGTTGCCAGAAGCTCAGTAATGGTGACATTTAAGTCATGTGACCGTGGTGTACTTCGTTTATAACCAATGCTAAGCTTTCTCTTTAATTCTGGCAATTATATTTAGGCTGTAAAATTGATAAAGGTTCTGTTCATTTGTGAAGATTATCACGACGTACAAATGATAAAAACTTTTGTTAGTCAGAGGATTTATATTCTGCAATAATCCAAAATCTTATAGAAAAATCCTATTGGGTTTTTGTCAAGGGAATCACGGTGATACGAACTTACAAGTTGACCTAAAAATAAAAATAAAGTCATCACTGCAGCTCTCTATTACTGCTGTTTTAAAGGGATAGTTCACCCAAATGTGAAAATTTGCTGTTAATTTACTCACCCTCAGGCCATGTAGGTGACATTTTTTATTCTGTAGAAAAGTAAAAAGTAAAGTAAAGCACTCTAGACTCGTGAACGCGCTCCGGACAGTTTGCATGAGGCTATAGATTACAGGTAGTAATGTTGTAAATAACGCTCTGTTTCTTGCACAGACCAATTGTTTTGCTTCATAATACATCAATATATCATCAGGAGCCACGGATATTAATTATGTGTTGCCTGTATATGCTTTTTTGACTCTAAAAGTGACGGTAGCTGCTGACTTGCATTTTATGAATCACCAAGGACCATGGTTTCAGCTAAAAATCTTCTTTACTGCTCCACTGATGAAAAGAGTCACCTACATACAGTGGGTACGGAAAGAACGTTTACCATCCCACCTGACAGAACTGGAGAGGATCTGCAAGGAGGAATGGCAGAGGATCGCCAAATCCAGGTGTGAAAAACTTGTTGCGTCTTTCCCAAAAAGACTCATGGCTGTATTAGATCAAATGGGTGCTTCTACTAAATACTGAGCATTTTTCAGTTTTTCTTTTTTAATAAATTTGCAAAAATGTCAACAATTCTGTGTTTTTCTGTCAATATGGGGTGCTGTGTGTACATTAATGAGGAAAAAAAATTAACTTAAATGATTTTAGCAAATGGCTGCAATATAACAAAGAGTGAAAAATTTAAGGGGGTCTGAATACTTTCCGTACCCACTGTATTGGGCTGAGTAAATTAACAGCAAACTTTCATTTCTGGGTGAATCTCTTTAACTATTCTTTTTAAATCTCCATGACTGCTTCCACAGACATACCCATATGTTGGAATACCATATGCATAGGTTCAAAGGTTAAAGGTCAAGCTTCACCTTATCACAGAAGACCTTGATCTGACAGTAGGCTCTGTGCAGGGGTTTGTTGCTGCGGTTGTTGTAGCTGTAGGTGTCAATCTGTATCATCAGAGGAAGACCCTTCACCCCCTTCTGAGAGGAGAAATCTGTGCTCAGACAGTTCACCGTGATGAAGATCTAACAATCAGAGAACAAGACAAAAACAGTTCAGTTCCACATGAAGATTCATGTTAAGAAAACAAGCATGTTATAGTGGTGTCTGTCAGTGCAAAACTCTGCCACTGGGGTGCTGTGGGAGATTGTTATGATATATAATGTAGGTATCTGGAGGTATGTAGGTATGTAACAGACGGTTGCATAAGAACTGCCATATTCATATTTTCTAACAGCTTGTTCCGGTTTGACCTACACAGTCCTGACCGTTGAAAGTGCACATTGTTTTTCACCCACCATCCACCTACACACGCAAAACAGGTGCCTGCCTCGACACGTCTATCTGTATCACTGACTGCTACAGAAACAACGCTCAGACTGCACACTAACAACTCTGCCGTTTAATTTGCACAGAACACTCAATGTTCCAACTGAAGGAAATAGTTTTATATTAATATAAGACCCAATTTTAATCTTAAATGTCATCTTTGCATTGATTCATTTTCAATTCCTAAACAGTTTTTAGCCTCTGCCTCCTCAAAGATTTGGAAACAGAGTCTTGCTCACTAAATATTTATGTGGTTAGTTATTAACAGTTTCATATAATCATCCTTTACCAATGCCAGAGGACAAGAAAGAGGCCATCGTTAGGTGAAGCGTGGCAAGAAAACTGAATTGGAGCACTTCATATGTATTGAATACACTCACATGGCATAGGAAAATCTTTTATTTCCTAATTTGCCACCAGAAAACCTTCTATGTAGCAATGCATGACTTATATTATAACAAAAGATTTCTGTGTCAAATAATACTATCCTTTTACATTTTCGATTCATCAAAGAATACTTTTTTTAAAATGTATCGTGGTTTCTACAAAAATATGAAGCAGCACAACTGATTTCAACATTGATAATAATAATAAATATTCCTTGAGCAGCAAATCAGCATATTATACTGATTTCTGAAAGATCATGTGACACTGGAGACTGGAGGAATGATGCTGAAAATTCAGCTTTGATCACAGCAATAAATTACATTTTTAACATAGATTCAAATAGAAAACATTTATTTTAAATTGTAATAATATTTCACAATATTACTGTTTTCGTAATATTACCACTCGTAAAATAAACTAAGCCATTCCACACTGCAGCAAGGGCATAATTTCCAGCTCACAGATCAATGGCTCATGGAGAGACTCAGTTTATGGCTTCCTCCACTCCAGCCTGATGAGAAGAGCTTTGAAAGGACTTGTAATAAAAGTTTGAGAGTATGTTAGGTCAGAGTATGAGATGCTTATCAGATCAAACTGAGCGCATTTCACACCCCACTGCATGCTTTTACTTGAGCTTGGACTCAAAAAAAAAAAAAAAAAAAAAGTCAAACCCACTTAAATATCCTTCCAAGGGCGGCTGCATTGAGACATCACATGGTCCACATTAATAGGTTTACCAGTGTGAGTTGGCCCGATAAAAAGCAAATGTTTGCATAGAGAGCTTTAGGTGAATATACTCCAGAGGCGAGTGTTTGAACTGAGCTGTATTGCAACAGAAGAGCCACAATAGGAGGGCAGGACTCTACCTGTGAGGCTGGGAGGATCTGGACTCGGGTTTGTGTGCGTTTGGCCGTGTACACACACAGACCTGGTCCATTTCCTACTCTCAGTAGTGTACATGTGTAACCCGAGACACCGTACAGGAGAAAATAGAGGTTTAAATTAATAGACGGGACTGGGGAAGATGCACCAGGGTATTGTGAATCAAACATTACGCTATTCATGGCTCTTGGGGCGTGTTCAACAACAGAACAGAAACTACAGCATGTAAAATACACATATCAGATGTCGTAACACTCCACCCTGTTTCTCAATAACATTTTGTGTATCACACATAATGGTGGCAGTGCGAATGAATGAAAGAAAAAAAACACATCCAATGATGTAGTCAGACTGTAAAAACTGAACCTTTGGTTGGGTTTAACAACTACACCTCCCACTTCAACATCCATGATGACCATTAATGCAAGCAGAATGTCCATAAGCCCAAAACACACACTGGAGGACGTATTCATTGTAAATTTGCAGTGCCACATCAGAACTGTGAGCACACAGTCTTGGTGCTAGATGACTTACCTTGGCCTCCTCATTCACGTCCCAGGTAAAGGACACAGCGTTGTAAGCGATTTCTTCAATATTCCCAATTGTGTTGAAGCTCTCTTTGTAGTCAGCTGTAGAGAGAACAGGAAAAGTCAGTTCTCATACTTGCTGAAAAAACAACAACAAAGCAAACCAGGATATGTTGTGTTTTGGATACTAGGTTTACAGCTATGCACCACTAGCACCAGACCACAACTAACCTGCGTAAACCAGTCCAAACCAGCGTGCACTTCACCTACAGACTGATACTTGCAGGGGTAGAGGCATGTACAATTTATATGGTGTATGAACAATTTTAGGGAGTGATGTGCGAACAGCTCTGGCGAGTGTCAGAGAATGGCGACATTAAAACAATGTCTGCTAAAGCAAGTGGTTTTAAGACTGATAAGCTGAGTGTACCCTTCCAGGCTAGATAACTCTTATCTGTTTATGTAAACAAACATTTGCTTTTTTAGTAGCCGCTTGATAGGCCATTTATGACCACTCACACTTTAAACATGTCTGTGATTCAGCCTAAATGTCATTACTTTATAGATTTACGTTGAGGTGATCTCATAACAGTTTCAATGGCTGGAGTCAGCCTGTCTATGCTAGCTTAGCTACGGCAGTTAACTTTACATTCTTGACTGGTACTTTCTAAGTGTCTGTGTTGATGTCCACCAGGCTAAAAGTCAGGGCTGCCCCTGGCTAAAGATTTTTTTTGTCAATTAATAGTTGTTCATTTAAGCTATTAGTCGACTAATTGCATGTTTATTCATTTAATTACTTAAATATATACTTAGGGGGCTTTTAATATAGGCTATAGCCTACTCTTATACATGTACCGTATAAACCTTGCCGCAAAGCACCCACAAATGACTGAATGTGTCGGAAAAAATAGCAAGGATATATTTTATTTATTTATTAATAAACTAGTGTTTTCTGAGTCAGTGTTAGCTGTAAAGATGAAGTTGACGCTGCTGACTCGCCACCTCCACAGTGGATGCACCTTTAGAGAAATGCACCATTCGTACGGATTACATAATGAGAGAGTATTTGAATTGGTTTCTTTAAAAGTAGACATTTCAAGCTTTCTGTAGATATATTTCTCACGTCTGTGAGGCAAGTAGCACATACGCTGAGTTTCGCTTCATTTTTGTGACGCGCCCCACAGTTCAAGGAGACCGAGACAGCAGAAAGCACATCCTGTTTGTTTTCTTTATTTGACAAAAGCATGCTTTGTTAATATTGCGAGAAAGGTAAAACACTTTACAGTTTCGAATGATGTTAATTACTCTTATCTGCATCAGCAAAATGATGGCATATGCCGGTACCTCCATGTCATGCAGGACAATTAATAGTTTAACCCTAAGCTAACCCTAACCCTAACCCTAACCGACTAACCAACTGATAAAATTTTAGTCAACTTAGCTTCTTCTCCTCAACTAACCTGTAGTCGACTATTAGGGGGGCAGCCCAGCCCTACTAAAGTATTAGATTACTTAGAAATCAAATAGGACCCATTTGCACAGCTAGCAGCATTATCTAAGGTATCATTCATTGGTCGGGCAACCAGTAACACACATGCTCATCATAGAAAAGGTGTGCTCAAGTCATAGCATGTATGAACTGCATGTTCAATGTTTGAAAGATTGTTGTGACTCTCAAAACAAAATCTGTTCAAATCCTTAACCCTAAGTATGAGTGGTAGCAATAGTGGTGATTTCCTATGTTAATTCCTTTCTTTCTTCGGTTTCCAAACTTCTTTGTAATTTAATAAGCTGTCATTACAGGGGCGTTCATCTCTATGTTAAGTAAACCCAACACCTGTCTTACTTTGGGGTAACTTGGGGATTAGGAATGGTGAAATCCTTCCCAAGGATCTCCTTTGGGTCATTTACCAAGCATGCCCGATGATGCCCGTAAGCGAGCTCCCCCAGTTAAATAGCCCCATTCAAATCCCAGCTCTAGTGACATGGCCCCAAGCCTGAGGAACAATCCCGCCTCAACTGCTATTCAAATCCCAACTGTGCAGGTGTCAGGTTTCAGTCACTGTCTCCTGTACTTGGCTTGGCTTGGCCTGTACACTTCACCAATTTACCAACACTTTCTTCGCATCCCGTAGTACAAAGCTCACCTTGCATCAACAAAACATTCCTCTATTTTTGCCCCATCTATCAGAGCAGGGTTTAAGACAAAGATAGCTGTCATCACGTCTCAGATATTCCCTCAGGGTGCTCCCAGGATGTGAAAGTCTTGGGGCCAAATCTTGACAAAGTGCATAACAGAGCGTCTGATTACTGGAGATGAGGGGAGGACAAGAAGCAACAGGCTCAGGATGACTGTTCTCTCAAGGTGTGACAAGGCCGAGAATAAGACGTGAATTGTTTAGACTCATAGCTGCCCCACACCAGGTGGACTCCCAACAATTTTTTGTATGTTGGGCTCTTTTTTTCATTCAACTTGAATCAGAAGCTGGGCTAGTGATCTGAAGGTCACAAGTTCAAATCCCAGGTGGGGTGACTCGTGGAGCTGGAGAATAATTGCGATCTAACACCATTGCACCATTACTTAATCCTGGGTTGCTCCAACGGGACTATCCCTGTAATAAAGTGTGCAGCTGTGGATAAGAAACCACCCAATAAATAACTATAAACTAATAAAAAACTAATTAATATCACAGATTCAGTGAGGTAAAGAAATCGGTCCAAATCTCAAGAGTGTAAAGAGATCTGCATCGATCTGTAAAAAAATCTCAGGGCAGACTCTCTAGTCAAAGTTGTGTATAATTTGTGTGTATTGCCATTTAGCAACCTAGTACCCATTAGCTGAGCAGAGGGAAACCAAGAGGAACCAATCTCCTGAGAGCCCTGAGGGCTTCTGGGATGTAAGGCACCATCAGTCTTCAAACTAGTGGTGGGTGCACAATGAACTGTTTTGAAAGCAAGAAGTACTTTCAGACCAAAGAGTGTTGAGTAGTAGTTTAGTTAATGATTTTTTGGGGAAAAATTATACATAATCTACGCAAGTACAAGAACACAAATGCTTTTTTTTTTTTTATGCAAACTCAATCTCACGCATCGCTGCATTCATAAATATTTACTCTTTCACATCAACAACTGCCATGGCGGAGCAACAGTTTGAAGAGAATCTTGCTGCTGATATACTTATAGCTAGTAACCTGTTCTGTTTAATTCAAGGGTGTCCAATCCTTCACCTGGAGGACCAGTGTCCTGCAGAGTTTAGCTCCAACCCTTATTAAACACACCCGAATTAGCCAATCAATGTCTTCAGGATCACTACAAACTTCCAGGCAAGTGTGTTAGAACAGGTTGAAGCTAAACTTTGCAGGACACCGGCCCGCTAGAAGCAAGATTGGACACCCTTGGTTTAATGGCACATACATTTTAAGGTAAATCTATTGCCCCATTGAGTATGCCGTACACCAAAGTAACACTGCACATTATATAAAACTAGACCGTGCTCTTGCAGTGCAATGGCCAAAGCACGCATGTCTGCGTTCATATAATTATATACAGTGGTGGTTCCCAACCCTGGACCTGAAAAATTCCCCAACTATCCCTAATAATACACATCTGATTCTCACAGACACTCCGAGACCTGAAATGTGTGTTTTAGATCATCAGATAACATGTGTGTTGTTGGGGATTATCTAGGACCAGGGTTGAGAACCACTGTTAAATAAGGGATAGCCATCTCTTCCTGGAGGGCAACCTTTCTGCAGACTTCATTTCCAACCCTGCTCTAACACATCTGCCTGTTCTTGTCTAGTCATTCTTATGTAGGATTAGACACCCCTGGGCTAAATTAACTGGGGTAAATTGGCAAAGCCTAATCCAAGTTCAAGCCTAAACACTGATCTCAGTAATGGAGAGGAAGCCTCACCGATGTCCAGAACCCTCTGCTTTGCCGTGTGCTGGCGAGAGTGCCAATACTTCCAGTACTTGAGCTGCTCATCACGGTTCTTATCTTCACTGAATACAACCATGACGACACTCTGATAGAGGAAATAAGAGAAAGGAGATTAACAGAGGTTATCACAATCCACTCATTACTTAATGCCCGTTCCAAACGTTCCAAGCATTCTTTTAAACTATTACCATAACATGAATGGATGATATAGACATATATTACTGCTCAAAAGCTTGGGATTGCTAAGATTTTTTAATGAAAGAAGTCTCATGTTCTCACCATAGCTGCATTTTTTGATCAAAAATACAGTAATTGTGAAATATTATTACAATTAAAAATATTTTAAAAATAAATTTTAAATAAATTTTCTCTTTTAATATATATTTAAAAGTAGTCTAATTCCTAAAATGAAATTTTCAGCAGCCATTACTCCAGTCTTCAGTTATTACAGGTGAAAATGCTTGTGCTTTCTAAAAAAAAAAATAGAAATGTGGAAGCAGTGATACATTTTTTTCAATATTCTTTAATGAATAGGAAATTCAAAAGAACAGCATTTATTTGAAGTAGAAATATTTTGTAACATTATAGATGTCTTTTCTGTCCTTTTTGATCAACTGAATATGTTAAAAGTATTAATTTCTTTGAAAAAAACTATTTCAACTATTTAATTTAGAGCTGTCAATCAATTAAAATGTTTAACAGAAATAAATTAAATATTCCAGTTAATTAATCAAAGCTCAACGACATGACATTGGCACATTCTACCATGTCAAGTTCTTCAGTTATCTGGTTTGATAGAAGAAGGCAGGCCTACACACTCACCCTCACTTTGCTGATGGGATGTCGGAGGCGTTTATTGGCACTTGTCTCATTCAGTGTAATAGCATAGAACTGGCCTTTGTTCAGGTAGGTCATAGGCCCTTCACCCTGCTTCTGCCGCAACGACCTGCTGGCCTCAAGTGTGTACTGGAAGGTGTCTCTGTTGAACAGCATGTTTTTCAGGTGTGTGAGAGCTGATTCATCCTAATATTACAAGCCTACCATCATTTTCATATAAATCACTTGGTTACAACAAACAACACTTACAACATTTCTGGCTGGTCAAATATGAAGTCATCAGCTCCAAGCGATGATGGGCGGTACTTCTGCATCAAAAAAACAAAAAAAACAATCAGCCATTAATCTGCTGTATTAAATCCAAGTTTTATAACAAATGTTTCAGAAACACCAAATTAATCTGCTCCCACTTCATTGCTGTCTTCCTCATAGGTGCTATCTGGACTGCTGCGATGGTCATCCTTCCCGTATCCACTGTGACATACAGTCGAGGTGTCGAACGAGTGGGCCTGCTCACAGATGACCCGCATCGGTTCCTCTCCTTCTGTCCTGTAGTGAACCCCCGAAGCCATGAAAACAGGAGTGTACGCCTCAGCCTTCACCACCGCAGCGGTCCCGCTCTCTCCCGCAGACACGCTGTACTGCTCCCGTTTGGTGTCCTGGTGATCCGTGTTGAGCGACAGATTAACAGGCACTGATTTCAGGACCTGGACGCGATTATCCACTGTCTCCGGCTCTATCTGACTGCTGCTTCCCACTGTAGTGTTTCTGAGACAGTATGAAAGCATAAAAGATGAAAAGCTGAAATAAGTCAAATTTTTTAATCTATTTATTCAACTTCACCAATTCTTTAATCATTTCACTTACCTCTTTTCTGGCTCCTCTGAAATTTCAACCACTTTGCTGATGGGCAAAACTCTCTTATCTTTGGGCACCTGCAAAGGATAAAACATCAATAAACCTCAGCGCTGATAGTATCCTAGGCACTGTTTCACTATGATTGCTTGAATGGAGATTTATCAATCCACATAGATAAATTGAAAACTTCCTGATTGTCTTCCGCTGGGTAACTTCCATATCAGATCAGCAAAGAAGCATCATTTCATCATATCCTTACTGTGCTAGTATGTTTTGGCTTATGAGACTCAAGCTATAAATTTGTACATGGTTGCACTGGAAGACATATTTATGTTTTTGTTCATTAGTCAAGAAATTGTAGATGAAAAATGATGGAGAGTATAAGTGTTAACGTAACCGTGTGGCACGCTGACGTCTCAAATGCTCTACATTCCTACATTAATTTTACCCAAAATACCAAAAAGAATAATTTCACTGGGACATAAATGCACTGAAAACTATTATTATCAAAAACTTGCATCCTAATCAAAAATAAATATTTATAAAACGGATAGTTTCCGGTCCTTGATTCTGATTGGCTGAGCCGCGTTCAAAGCTGTTGTAAATTACTCTACAAACATACACCTTTGTTTACGTTTGCGTGTTGCTCGGCAACCACTTTGTTGCAACCACAACTGTTTCTGAGGAACTACATTGTTTGGTGGAAGAATGCTGTTTTTATTAATATCATTACACTTTATTTGCTCTGTTTTATTTTGTGAAACCTAACTACGTATAAGGAATAACCGTTTTATAAAAGCAAAAAGCCCCGTGAAGACTGTTCTGTCCATCCAGTTCATCCTTATAATGAACAAAGCTGTTGTATGAATTGAAATACAGTGCACAAGTTTATGTTATTATGCATAAGTCTAAGTTTTTGCACCTATATTTGATTTTATTTATCATATTTGAATTAATATCATAATAAGTCAGCAAAAATCTGTTCATTGTGAAAACATATTTTCGGAGCTTCATACTGTAGGCCCAGTTACTATCCACTTCCATTGTATGGAAAAGAGCAGCTTGAACATTCTGCTGAATTTCTCTTTTTGTGTTCCACTGAAGAAAGAAAGGTTTCAAACACCATGAGGGTGAACGAATGATGACGTGAAAATGAAAATATGATTAATGTGAAGAAAGTAGGAGACTCAGCTGATGTCCCTGACCTTGTAGTACTCATAGAGGAGCCCCAGGGCGGCAGCACTGTCTTCATCTCCATTGATGCTCATCATGGCTTTGGTGGCCGCAGTAAGAGGATTCTCCAGGTAAGACCTCCAGGCCTCATCCTCACTGGTGTAGGCCCGACGCGAATGGAAGGACGGCTCATTGGGCACCACTACAACCAGCCTCTTACTGGGACACACACACACACACACAACAGTATATCAGCACACTAGCAAACAGAAACACAGACATAAATGATCCAGCTGATAAAGCTTCATGTAAAAGCGCTGTTTTGCATACTGATGAAAACAAACCTGCACACTGCACCTTTTGTGAGTGTGATGTATAGTGTATTGATGCCAGGCATATCTAACCAACCAAATACTGACAGCAGACATTGTCAGAAGTCCTTCTGCATTTTACAGCCTGACAGACAACTACAGCTACAATGTAGTGGCACGTGACGTGAGGAAGTACCACTGCTGGCACTAGTCTCCCTATTTGATATCATATGTGACCCTGGAGCACAAAACCAGTCTCAAGTCGCTGGGGTATATTTGTAGCAATAGCCAAAAATACATTGTATGGGTCAAAATTATCGATTTTTCTTTTATGCCAAAAATCATTAGGACATTAAGTAAAGATCATGTCCCATGAAGATATTTTGTAAATTTCCTACTGTAAATATATCAAAACGTAATTTTTGATTAGTAATATGCATTGCTAAGAACTTCATTTGGACAACATTAAAGGCGATTTTCTCAATATTTTGATTTTTTTTTGCACTCTCAGATTCCAGATTTTCAAATAGTCGTATCTCGGCCAAATATTGTCCTCTCCTAACAATACATCACCACACATCAATGGAAAGCGTATTTATTCAGCTTTCAGATGATGTATAAATCTCAATTTCGAAAATTGACCCTTATGACTGGATTTGTGGTCCAGAGTCACATATGATCTTAAATCTATATCTGGCTGCTTTTATTCTTCAGAATCATGGACAAGATATTCAGCAACATACAGTGGCCTCAAAATGTTTTTGGCCACACCTAAAATGAAACATACAATAAAATTCTACAATAAAATTCTAAAAATGACATCACTAAACATAGAACATTGAACGGTTGTGCTCTGTGTTTTTTTAATTAATCTTGACTTTTCATCTGATCAGTTTTGAGATTAAATGCAAACAAGGTTTCTTGTCTATTGTCTATTTGTTAACTAGGATTTATGGACATATGTTTGGTAACAAATCTTGTTTTATTTTAAAGTTAAAAACTGACCCAAAATGCCCTCCTCAGAATTGGGGCAGAAAGTTTCCAGCGACCCACTGTTGCTGATGTTTTTTTATTATTTTATAATTGAGCAGATTCAGTTGAGCAGATTTCATAATCTATTGTTTTTATGACATTTTTGTTTTTTATTAAAAACATGTATATAAAACATAGAATTAAATAATGAAACTCAGATGTGTCTCTTTGACTTGGATTCTGTTTTTGTGGATTCTAATTTGTCTGTTATTGCTCAGTTATAAAGTAAACCGTCAACATTTCTTTACCCCAGTAGTGGGTAAGAAATTCATGATTTAAAATGTTGTTCTATAAATATACTCTCAGAATCTAAAGGTAAATCTGAGTTGGGTTCACTTTAGTTTACTGAAAATGAAAGCAGTGAACACAGAGCATGTGCTCCAGTGGGCTCTTTCACTGGAAAATGGGCAGAATGCAGGTAAAGTGGGTCATCTTTATCATTGTGTGTATACAAAACAAAATAATAATAATAATAACATTTTCAAAATCAGCATATGGGATGATATTAAATAGTTTCCTTAGTTCTGAAATAATATCATTTGGACTGCATTGTAAAATGAGGTGCATATTCTGAGGCAAATCATGATGAGGTTACAAAGTAGCAAAACAGTTTGTGATATATTTAGATTATAAGTTAATTATACTTCTTGTATTTAATATTTTCCCTGTTTGTATAGTGTGGGTGATTAACTATTAGTGTGAGAAGGAGCTAAGTCATCTGAAACATACTTTTATGTATAAATTATCACAAAGTTTCCTACTTTACCTGTCTTCGCCAGGTTTAATTGGAATAGCGCATTAATTAATTTCTATATAATTCTTTGACACACATAGAGATTAGTTATCTTTGAGACGCAAGACCCGTATTATGACCAACAGCCCTGAGGATACGCCAGTTCAGTGCATTTACTTTGCCTATTTTATAAACTAAAATGTGTTTAATCACCACAAACATAAATAAACCGGTTGTTACGATGAATGACACACTAGATCTGAACACTGCATAGAATCAAACAATCAAAACAACCGACCAAAAACAATCTTTCGGTAACACTTTATTTCGATAGTCCACTTTAAACATTCTATTAACAGTAAGTAACTTTGCAACTACATGTCAACTAGCAGTTAGTAGAGTATTAGTAGACTGTCTGCTTAATATCTTCTAACACTTTCTTTGTCAACTTATTCTACTAACCCTAAACCTACCCTAACAGTCTACTCTGAGAGTTAGTAGACATGTAGATGCAAATTAATGAGAATTAGTTGACATGTAGTTGACATGTAGTTACAAAGTTACTTATAGTTAGTAGAATGTCTAAAGTGGACTATCGAAATAAAGTGTAACCAATCTTTCAAACTTCACATAAGACACAAAATGTGTATTAAAACTAAAACAACGTAATATTGACGCTTCTAAATTAGGATGATCGTCAACGATATACTAAAAAAAACAATAACGAAATAACACAGCACAAAAATAAATAGGCTAAATAAATAAATTAAAATTTCTTTTTAGTAAAAAAAAAAAAAAGCCAT